GTACTCTCCCCTACTCACAAACATACTGAAGTCCACGTACTCTCCCCTACACACAACTATACAGAAGTACATGTACTCTCACACACAACCACACTGAAGTGTATGTAGTGTCACAAACAGAAACATAACGAAGTACGTTCTTTCACACGCACAACTTCCCATACTGAAGTACATATACTCTCCCAACACAACCATACTAAAGTACATGTACCCTTACACACACACGAGCATACTGAAGTGTATGTACTCTCCCAACACAACCATACTGAAATATGATGAAACTTTGTTGAATGGACGACAACTGCCTGTTGTGGAGACACAAGTGTAGAGGACGATGTTTAGAAAGTCTTCCGCCTTTCGTCTTCAGTACATGTACTAACCCTCACATAGACAAACATACTGAAGTAAATGTAATCTTACACACACAAACATACCGAATTTCATATACTTCCCCAACACACAACCAGATTGAAGTACATGAAAAAAAAGAGCCAGGGAAATCCACCCATTCCCCATCTCCCCCCCCCATCACGTACAATCTAGAAAAATACACTCATAAACGTCACACACCCACACGTATTAAAGTACATCTGCACATCAATATAGAGACATAAGCGAACACAGTCAAACCCAAACACTTACATTTTGAAAAGTATCCAGGGTTGTATGAAGTTTCGATAACTGTTGTTACTCACCCTGGTTACAGTTAGTTAGGTGAACATGGGAAATGTAACCTTTATAATGTATGTGTAATGTTATGTTCAAAAACAGTTTAGGAACATTTCCTTGATTACAATATTCTATTAAAGATGCTGTGTGTCATGGCCATTACTGAGAATACACAGTTGTGACACGTAGTGTGTCATGGTCATTACTGAGAATACACAGTTGTGACACGTAGTGTGTCATGGCCATTACTGGGAATACACAGTTGTGACACGTAGTGTGTCATGGCCATTACTGAGAATACACAGTTGTATAGTGTGTCATGGCCATTACTGAGAATACACAGTTGTGACACGTAGTGTGTCATGGTATTACTCAGTAATGGCACAGTTGTGACACGTAGTGTGTCATGGCCATTACTGAGAATACCCAGCCGTGACACGTAATGTGCCATATCCATTACTGAGAATACCCATCTGTGACGCAAAATGTGTCATGGGTATCGCTGAAACTGCTCAGCTAAAACACAAAGTATAAAATTACGTTTTACCTTTCGCTGTAAAAATTAACGTTTTTGTAGCTTTAGTTTAAAGTACCAAACTTTATCTTCCATAGTTGAGCAAACTAAATAATGTATGTGTTGATGATAATTCAACAATCTAGTTCGAGAAACAACTAATACCTCATCTGTAGTTGTGTTAGCTTGGTGCTGGAGCTGCTCCAGTTCAGTGCGTTCCGTTGGCCCATTTATTTCCTCCGTAGACATAGTGGCGCTGCGATCGATGAATCAAGCTGCAAAGACAAGAGTAAGAAAAAACTCATGAACATGATCGTCATAGTACAATTGTAACCTAGAAAGGTCTACAGAAAGAAAAATGCAAAATTATTCTGAAAAAATTCGCTGAAATAGGTATGTGCCATAATAAGATAAGAGTTAACAAAATGTGAAGTAAATTATCTACGAAAATTACACGAATTCACTTCGTACATTGCTTCTTCTCCTTTAACATTTTCAGTCCAAAAATATGTAATTTTCTAGGAGCGACGTTTGCAGTAACTAACGACGGCATCGAACGTCCTGCACATGACAGAACTGAATGTCTGGAGGGAAACGTAGGAATTATAATTTTCTACCTTGAAAGTTATATCGCACAAGCACTGAAAGTTCAGAGCGTGTTCAGCGGTATCACATCTCGAACCTTGGGCCTTCCATGCGCATCTCGGAGCGCTCTTCACTAGCCCTTTGGTAGAGAAATGTCAAATGATCAATACATTAAGTTTTTGTTCTATCATTTATATTCTTGAGTTCTAACAAAGAACATATTGAAGTAAATCTAAAGTTCTTGGCCGAAGGTACTTTTCAAAGAAAGATGGTTGAAAACGAGAAAGTAAGCGCTTCGTAGGGTTGTAACTGAACAACTAAGTGCTTTATAGACTTAGAAGCTAAGTGCCTCAAATGGGTGTGACATAGTTTCAAACGGAGTATCCGCTCTTATATGTATTATTAATTATTAGTAATTAAAAAACATAATTCTAGTGTAAACGATTTTATCATTACGCCTGGAAGTTAGCTTTCTTAAAGAAATTTGGTGTTTCTTTAAAAAGCTGAGATACAGGGTGAAACAGTAACTACTAACCAATAATAGATAAACAATAAATATTACAGTTGTAACCCGTAAATAGTTATAAATACAACCTTCCTACGTCTATTGAAACATTGCATTAAAAACAACAACAAAAAATTAGCAAATAAGTGAAGAAAAAACTTTTCAAAAAAGAAAGTAAATGTAAGGATGGCTAATATCAATCATTCAAAAACAATGCAAACAAAATTGTAGGGATGACATTTGCATCACCTACACATATTAACAGAAGTAAGAACTAACATATAATAATATATATATAACTATTCAATGAAAATTGAGTTTGACTTATCCTATTTTTGTCTGTTAACATTCTACTAGACTGTATGCCTCTGATATTACCGTATTTTTCGGAATATAAGATGCACTCTTATTTTGAAGAGAAAGTTCTGGGGAAAAAAAGCTACAGTCGCATTTGAGAGATTT